GGGTGCGCAGGGTGGTGGCGGGCTGGCTGATGCGTTGGCGGCGGCGTTGAATAAGAGGAAGCAGAAAGTTAGCGCTAGTGGTAAGTTTTTCTCTTTCGAGGGAGTGCTGTGGAAGTTGATGTTGAGATTGGTCGTGCTAATACTGTGTGTTCTTTGTAGATGACGAGGCGGATGCAGATGATTGGGATTAATCAATCAAGACATTCATTCATGCTTGCTTGCCTACTGTTGAGTTGAGTTGAGATGCCAACTTTTGGTGCGTGTCAGCAGGCGTGCGTATCTGGTCTGGTCTACCTCAGCTGTCACTTTTTGACTTAGGTATGCATGCGTATGGGCGATTAGATGCTGGTGGAAGATTAGAATTAAATAGGCACATACATGACTTGACGTCTGCTTATACTCTAGGGGTAGTTTAAGAGTGAATGGAATCAATCAATCAATCAATCAATCAAGTTCTCTAGATGTTATAATGTATCTTGATCAGGTATCCAAGATCAAACCACACCCAAGACAGCGTGAAAGAAAGAAAACCTCGTTAAATAAATCACTCAGACCGCACTTATGGCTAAAAAGGTATATCCTCAGCTCTAGATGCAGATGCCACTCCCCCTCCCAGTTACCCTAAAAGAGACCAAAAGAGAGTTTGAAAAGCGAGGGAGAATAGCGAAGGTTCTAAAATATAGGAAGTGTGATTCTGCGACGCACCAATAATAGTAACTATAGTACCATTGCAATTATTGATATTAAAGGGGGCGATTATGGCATAATTATCTCCAAGTGGTGGGGGCTTCTTTGTAGGTGTACACATATGGACCAACGCCTTTAGAGGAGAGTGCGGTTTTAGTCATTTATCGTATCGAATGTAATGTAATGCATTTTCTATTCTATGAAGTGATGCAACGCATCCCCGCAATGAATGACAAGAGCATAAGAAAGTAAAGGCCTGGACAATGAGTACGCAACGTCTCTCCCGTTGCACGCTCACCGCCAGTCGGAGATTCAACTCAAGCAACTACCATGTAAGGAAATCCTGTCGAGGTTCTCCGGACGCGTGGCTGTCTCGATCGTGACAATAGCGAAGGAGATTGAGAGAGAAGACAGTCTTTCCTTTCCTTTTCTCCACCACCCCTTTCCCCCTCCGAAAGCAAGCATACCGATATGTCGATAAGCAAACCGACAGACCCCTCAAATATCATCAACGTCAATCTCCTTCCCCTTCCCGCCCGCCTCCTCATCCTCACTCTCACTCCGATCCTCATCAAACTCGAAATTGCAATCCCCATCTCCCTCCTGCCCATACGTATCCGTCTCATTAATCTTCGCACTCTCGGGTAATTCTCCATACGCCTTCAGCGACCGTGCCTCGTCCGCGCTGTACTTTAGGATCACGTCCCCCTTCTCGTCTTGGTAGTCCCGGAGACTCAGCAGGATTATGTCGCCTTGATTGATCCATACTTTCTTGCGTAGTTTTCCGCGGATGTGTGCGAGGCGCTTGGAGCCGTCGAAACAGAGGGCTTCGAGGCGTCCGTTGCCGAGCATTTTTAGGACTTGTGCATATTCTGGGTGGGGGTTAGTGAGGCTGTGTGAGAGGTGGGAGGGTGAGGCGAGGTGATGGAGGGAGGGAGGGAGGGAGGAGGGAGAGAAAGTCATGTACCTTGGCCTTCTTCTTTGAAGGTGAGTTCACGCTTTTCGTTGTCGTTTTCGTTCTTTCCACGACGACGATTCTTGCCTCCCTGTTTTAGGCGTTAGCTTATTTGTATTGAGGAGGGAGACGACGCGGTGCGATGCTCGCGAGGTTGTGTGCGATGGCTGTTGAGCGAGGAGGATGTGTTGTCTTACCTTTCCCTTGTTCTTGGGCATGTTGACGGGTTGCTCTTGGGTGGTTCTTGTGGTGGTGGTTGGTAGGAAGGAGGATTTTGGGCTCGGTGGTGGGGTTGGGCTTCTTTATCAGAGGGAGAGTGCGGCGGGCGGCTAATTCTATTTTGGTGGGGTGGTTTGTGCGTCACATGGGCTACGCTAGTCGAGGATTTGCTGGTTGGGCTTGTATCATAAAAACAAGCACATTTTCAGCCTCGTAAAAGTATATGAACTACAATTCCCTATCAATTCCAGACTGCGAGCAACAAGTCAAGCTATCATGAATTGAATAGCACACCGTATTCTCCGGCTTCAACGCCCACAGTCCCTACCATCCTCCACCATGCTCCCCAAGCAACTACAAGCCTTCCCCGGCATCAACGAGAGCATAGCATACTCCCGAACACTACAGCTCGTGTCATTCAAGAACAAAAACATAACAGCCTTCTCCCTGCGCTTCAACCTCAAACACGCCTACTGCGTCACTAGCGGTCGTTACATGCGCGCGCGACTCACTCTTTTCGAGAACTACTCCCAGAACAAATGGAATGCCCGCACAGAGCCCTTCTGGTGCACCTGCATCGCGAGGAAGGAAAATGAGCATACAAAGTCTACCGTGAGGGGTTGGATGAATAGGAGGGTGCGAGGGGCTGTTATGGAGTCGTTGAAGAAAGCGGGCTTTCGTCCTGATGGCACGAGTTTGGACGGCACGGTGGACAAAGAATTGTATTGCACTGCGCAATTTACGCCAGAGGCTGCGATTCTGAAAATGCCTTATACGGAGGTGGTGAGGCAGACGGATGTTGCTGTTGAGAAGATGATGGAATTGAGAGCTGGGAGGATGGGTAACCAAGCTAAGAAGTTAGTTAGGAAAGTCAACTACATGGATGCTGCAAGTAAGCATCAGAAACGTCTTGCAGAGAGACCTACTTTTTGATTGTAAAAGAACAAGGGAAAGCAAAATACATATTTATATATAACATGCATAACGAATACATTTTTAGACGCTCTGTAGCCTGATCTCCTAAAAATCACTTTCACAGCCTTGCATTGCTTGCTTTCTGACCAATCAGCGTTTGACAGCTTTTGAGGCTAGTCGCAGCTTCACCTTGTCGCAACGTACCTCAATTCCCAGCAACAACATCCACAACCAGCACAACCACAATGCTGATCTCCTTAACAGTCGGCAAAGTCGATGCGGGCGTCGCCGTCTTGCTAACCCAAGACAAAAGACTGGTATAATACCCTCCCTCCAAAACCCCCTTTGCGAAGCTATTCATTGTCAACAAACTAACAAAACCTCACATCCAGATCGAATTCCCCTCCATCCTCCTGCCACCCAACATTTCCTCCGGCAGCATCGTCGATATAACCGTATCCCGAAACTTCATCTCGGAACAAAAATCCCAATCCGCCTTCCTCGCCCTCCAAGAGAGCATCTACTCCTCCTTTGGCGAAAGCGAGCCTCTCCCCCCTATCCTGCGGTGCAAAAACGCAACCCAGACCTCCGTCGTCCTAGAATGGGACCCCATCGAACTCGCGACCGCAGACTGCATCTCTCTCTCCCTGTTCCGCAATGGCCAGAAAGCTGGAAACATCCCTCGGCCGACCAGTATGCGCACGACGAAAATCAGTGGCCTAGCCGTAGATACCGAGTACACGTTTCATCTTGTGCTCAGGACGAGCGCCGGCACGTTTAGTAGTGAGAAGGTTGTTGTCAAGACCCATAAGATGACTGACCTTTCCGGTATAACCGTCACGCCCGGTATTCTCCCAGCGCAGCTTCGCGACAGTCTCACGAAAGCCGTCGAGCGCATAGGCGCTAAGCTCGCCGACACGGTTCGTATCGATACCACGCATTTCGTTACCACGGAAGGCAGAGGTATTGCGTGGGAGAAGGCGGTGGAGATGAATATCCCGGTCGTGAGACCGGAATGGGTGGAGGGTTGTGAGAGGGGTGGGAGGATTGTTGGCGTCAGGCAGTATTATCTTGATGCTGATCCGAGACAGAGGCAGATTGCGGAGCAGCAAGCTACTTCACAGCAGCAGAAGCCGGCGGAACAGAAGGCGCGCGAAAGTCCGTTGCCGAGTCCGGGTCCTGAGCAGACGAATGGGAGTCAGGCTGTTCCTCCTACGCCTCCGGCGAAAGATGTACCGAGGGAGGAGGAGGAGAGCAGTGATGATAGTGAGGGGGATGAGGATGCGGAAGAAGAGAAGAGTGCCGTGCAGGAGGAGCAGAAGGTTAGAGTTGAGGATAGAGAGTTGCAGAAGGTTGCTATCCACCCAGCGCCCGAGGAAAAGGAAACAGAAAAGCAGGAAGAGAAAGAGAAAGAGGTTACGGAGGAAGATGGTAGTGGTACGGTCACGCCTGGCCAGTCGAGTTTCCAGGACGTTGCTCTCTGATATCACCTATAGTAGCGGTGAAAGTGTTCAGAGGGAGAACGAACGTGTTATAATATACCTTGCTTGCTATTTGCTATGACTTGCTGGTTTCTTTTGGGGGGACGAAGGAAAATGGGTCTATTCAATTGCTTTTCTTTTAGAAACTTGTAGTAGATAGAGAAAAGAAAAGTCCGATATGATACCTTCACCCATACTATCAATCCCCCTTTTCGTCTTGAGTTTGATTTTTGTGTGGTGTTGGTGTTTAGCCAGAGCTGGGCTGGTGCGGTGCGGTGCCAAGTAGCTACTTATTAAGAGTATTATAGTACTGTATGAGCTCTTAGATATAGGAGAATAGGAGGACTAGAGTTCTTTTATGAGAGCTGCGGGGCAAGGTCTTTATATATATTATACTTGCTCTACTCTCTTCCCCCCCTCCTCCCCCTCTCTTCTTTCGAGCGCGCTAGCACGTTAGCACCTTCTCCTGCGGCCCTCTTTCTTTTTCAATTTAATTAGATTTACCTCTACTCAGATTTGCTCCTAGTCAGATAAGGTACGAAGCTGGTGGCAGTCATTTCATATTCAACGCCCCGGGACTTGCTTTGCCGCGCGGGGGGTAGTCAGTATCTTCTGAGACTCTTTGGCAGACTATCGCGTCTCCTGCCCGGCCCTCTTGCTCGAAGTGGGCTATAAGTAGCGGTAGGTTCTATTAGCTTTGACCTCTGGATTTGATTATTCATACCACACTACAAGTTGTTGTAGTAGAATCATAGATTCATAAGCCTATAGAGGCTATTTTAAACTTTCTATATTGAATCAACTTGAAGAGCGAATTTGTCGTTCCCTGAAAAGAATATTTTCTTTGAATAATACATATATACCTTACCTATTCTACTCAAAACCCGTTACTCCGTAAAATACATAACTAAGTGGTGATGTGGTATCAGCTAAGTAGTATCCCTCGTCGTCCGTGGCGCCTATATAAATCTGTGCGCGTAACTTTGGATTGTCGTAAGTATGGCCTTCTTGTTCCCCAATATGAACCTTGTACCCCACCAAGCCAAAGATCCCGTCATAAGGACACTCAGGGTCACAGTAGCCATGATATCGTAATTCCTAGCCTTCCAAATACTCATACGCATATCTGCAGTCTGTAAATGCATAGGCCTAATCACCTTTCCATCTCTAATACGCAATTCCGTGTCATATAAAACCTCCTCAATCAGATCCGCCGCCAGGTACTTGCGCCTCGAAGCCACCCGCGCGATATTTCTCAAACGTCGGCTGTTCAACGCGAAGAGCCCCTCCTTGTCTTCTACAATGAGTTTTATCTTCCCATACAACTCGTCGCCTGTAAATGTAAATTTGTTTAGTGACTCCGCTACACCACCCGCAACGAGACGTGCGGTATTGGCGATCTGGTCGCTGAAGATACCCATACAAATCGCAGGCTTTCCGTGGAAGAGCGCCTCGTTCGCGCTTGAACCACCGCCATGCGTGAAATATAGGACTACATTCTGGTGCTCCAGAACTGCACGCTGCGGAGCAAAGAATTGAAACGTCCAGTCGGCGTGTTTGCCATCGAGGAGATCGCCGAGGACGAGCTGCTGGTCTTGATAGGTGAAGACATGGCTCCGGTCCAGATCTTGACGGCCGCTCTTGGCGACTGCCCAAATTACACCGTCGATCAGGCCAGAGGAGAGAGCGGATAGGATGCCGGAGATTATCTTGATGCTGTCTGCGTGGGAGATGATAATGTGTGTTCCGAGGGCAATATAGAGGACTTTCTTATGTGTATGCAGAAAGGAAGATAGTTCCGGGTCTAGCGGTGGATACGTGTCTGCGAGAATAGGACCCACGGCAGCCACAAGCGGGGGCAAATCGCGGGGAATCTCAAGGCCGAAAAAAGAATTGATGAATATGAGGTAGTCCGGCTTCGACTGTCGAGGTATGTCGTAGTTGACGCCGGCCCGTCGCCGCATCTGCTTCGTCCACCTAACCCACTTCAGGATGGTCGGCAGAGCATGCACGACAACGAGATCATTCCTTATGCGAGACCACATGGACATGGTTTCAGACGTTAATGCCATATCTAGCGTAAAGCCCGGCTGACCTGGGATATACGAACATGGGATCATGAGAAATGGCATCTGCGGCCATACAGTTGCAATAGGCATCTGAAACTGGTAGTGCATATCCTTTACAGCCTCGACAAAGAAGTCGGCGAGCATGAAATCTGGCTTGGTGGCTTCATCCTCACAAATAGCCTTGAGATGCTTGTATTCTGCAGTCCAGCCAGAATCGAACAGGTACTTAGAGTTCATAACATCAGCTAGTCCTTTCGAGGTATCCCATTTCCGCATCCGTAGATAATGCTCTTCATACTCTGCATCGGACGGCCCGGGGCCCATTAGATACGTCTTGGACACAAAGTCATAGTCCTTGAGCCAATGTGCCTGTCCATCTAGAGTTGCAAACTCGATCGTGTGACCACGTTCCGCAAGGACCTTGCCAATTTCGAGCACGGGAGCTAATATGGTGATTTAGATTCAGCTGATATTCTGCAACCCATGGCTATCGACTTTCAGTGCACATAAAGGCTTCAAGTCCATTTTTGTGTAGGCCAGATAATAGATATGAGACAAGAAATCCGACTTACCAGCGTGAGTGAACCCCCCCGTTGTGACGACGAGGAGGATTTTGCGAGTAGGAGTATCCATGGGTTTTCAAGTTCTGTTGGGGGTAAAAAATACGAAACAAGACTCGATTTCTTTGGCAAGAGTGAGGGCATGGCTTCGAATCTAATACCCGGTACTTGTAGTCGTTGACACTCCTATATCGTCTTGCGCATTCGCTTACAAGCGAATGCGGCGCAGGGAGGGGGAGGGGGGGCGAGACGGACGTTTGGGCAATTCATGCAGGGATTTTCGTCAGCTTTGATCCACCACTTGAGAAAACTGGTACTCACTTACCTACCTAGGTAATTATTAGGATCTTATCTTAAGGAGTAAAGGATCATCTATATGAATCAATCAAAGGGGGAATAAGCTTGAAATTAAGGATATAAGCGTATATTTGCTTTAGTTGTTTGTCGTTCCGGCGGCCAATGAAAAAGAGCTCTACCAAGCCACTAGGGAGTAGATTTAATCCGTAGGATAAGAAGTCGAGAATAATAAACGAATATGCGATGAAAAGGACAGCTCTCTCTTGGAATTGTAAATCGATGGAGGGCTAGAACTCTGACACGAAAACATCCCACTTGACGGGCGGGGCGTTACCCCGCAATATCCGTGGAAACTGCTTAAGCGAGCTCCTGAGCTAAGTGTTAGCATGGCATGCAGCGTCGGCAACCTAGAGGTATTTATTACGCTCCTGAAAATCAATAACCATAGGTCTATAGTCTAGCATATTGAAACCCGTACAATAATAAAGTATATTATTGCGAAGCATTCACTAGAAGTCTATAGACTTCCATGCAAATATCGTAGATGCCGTGCATGTTATTATACGCTACACAGATAAATAGAAGATTTTAACAAATGACGAGTGACTTGAAGTTGCTGTCAACCCTTTTTCAGGGTCACATATAATTCTGCCAATATGAATTGACGCGCCTTCCTGCTAAGGAAACAAGCTGTAATCGAAATCTATATAAGATGTCATTTCTTGGATCTATGAACATGGTAACAATAACAACTCGATTCAACGTTAGTGGCTGTCCTCCACGGACGGATGGCGACGCTGGCAGTTATAGACAATGAACGTTTGGATACGAACTAATAGGATTTCGCGGCGATCTAGTAGTAGGACCAGGAGACGAGCGTTGAGCAACGAAGCTATTAAATTTCATCGCTAGAAAATGAGAAATATTTTAATGTCTGCAAAATAATATTTGACTGCAAAGTAATTATAACTCAAGTCAAATCCATGACCCCGCTTATCGCACCTAGGCAACTTTACAATTCACCGAATAACTTGAGGCCAATAGATAGCAGGGCAGAGTTGGAGGCTGGTTTTGGTTCTAAAATTCCTTTATAATATCTTATTCTCATGTGCATGGAGTCGAGATGATTTCGAAGTCTATGTTTTATATATCTAGAGAAAGAGGCTAGGAAAGTCGTCTTCCTGTATAAGTGAATCTAAACAATAAGAGAATTCGAAGGATAACTATAAGTGGGTTTCACGAGGATCAATCTTAAGCGCTGTATTTAAAGAGTTGTGAATATCTGGCTTAAATCTGAAGGCTGCTAAGAAGGATGCCCAGAAAGTCGAAGAAAGCGCCATGCGAATCTCTTATGCGTAACAATTATAGTAATAAATTGCCCTTCGGTGCTCACATAGCAAGATCAATTCCCTATGACTATTAAGGCAGCTAATTAATTCAATCAATCATCGCATATAAACGACCGACTGATTTGAATGGCAATAAATCATACCCATATATGGCATGGAATTGAATTATCATGAACCTGGGCTCGATGGTGTAACTGTCTTCTGAGACAATAATGTACCAGGCGGAGCAACAGTCTGGGGCTTCCGACAGGTAGGAAGACGCACGAATGCTGCGACTCGGCCAAACTCTATCAATGTTCCCGTTCATGGATTCTTCGGCCTCGCTAGCCTCGTACAGGCTGGGTGCCTTGAGGTAGAATTCAACTTCCCGATTCGTACCGAAAGCCTGTCTGTGGGGCAACGGGGCTGACTCATGTTTAACATATAGCAAGATCCCACAAAGGATGATATTCGTCTCTACCTTGAGGACACGCTTGGCAAAGATGCTCTGTTTCAACAGCTTCAGAAAGAGGATCATCAGTGTCCTAATTTTGTTGAAAATGTGGTAAAAGGCGCTGACGGCGCCTTTCTTTGGGTATCTTTCGTCATTGGATCCCTTCTTGATGGCCTGACGAATTCAGATCGCATCAAAGATCCACAAACACGAGTGAATGAGACGCCAAAGGATCTAAAGGATTACTCCACCAAAAGTTTCCACGGAAAACCGATATCGAACTCAGATAGCATAAACACTTGCGGTCGCTCTTAACGCCACAACCGAGCTTCCTTTGATAGCATACTGACTTACTGGTCAAGAAAATCCCAATACGTATTTCAGTGTCAGTCTGAAACATGCAGGGGGAGTTTTAGAGTTTCGAATAGATGATATGAGAAGAAGACTGAATGTGCTCAGCAAAGGTCTCCTTGGAGCGAAGGATACGGATTATCACCGGAGGAATACTTTTATTTTCGGATTCGAGGTGGGCTTCTTGCACAAGACAGTGAAAGACTACCTTCAAACTCCTGATTCGCAGTCAATGCTTCAATCTTGGTCGAATGGTACTTCCAACATTGATTGGCAAATGTGCAACGCTTTCGGTACTTTCTTTCAAATGACATGCTTCAAATCCGACCCCTTGTCGGAAGATTAGCCAGTTTGGCTAAATTGGCAACACCATATGAAATTTTTTATCGGTGTATGTTCCAAGAGGGGATCGGTATTTTGTAGTAACAGTACTTTGAGCGGACTTGGCTTCTATGTTGGACCACCTTCAAACAGTAATAGACCAGGAAAACAGAGCTAGTCTTAACAAATGGGCTAATAAGCTACTCTTGAGCTACGTCAAAGGGCTTCGTTTTGATGATTCAAATGCATTGATTGTATCTTTGTGCGTCATCTTTGGAACACTGGGCTTTGTTGCCGGTAAATTTGCAAATGAGCTACATGTTGGCAGTAGAGTAACGAACATCATCCAGACCCTTTTCAGGGTTACTAGCTATGATGACTTCCACTAATGTGCGGAGATGCTTGAGCTTGTCTGGGAAGATACTTAGCATGACCGTAGATTGAGGAGCTTTGAAGCTATCAAAATAATGATCCGATACGGAGCAAACCATGAAGAACAGTGGACCTTGACTAGACCTAGTTCCGGTGGGAGAAGGGCAAAAGCGAATGAACTGATGAACAATTGTTTTGACGCGGACAAATTCAGCGTCCTTGAAGATACTATCAAAAAGCGAGCGAGCGAAACCAAGAAAAAACGGGAACATATCAAAGAAGATGCGAAGGCTCAAGCTCTGGGTAGCTTCTAAGAATTAAGAGTACCTTTTGTCGGTGGTTTGCATTTGGTCTATGATGTTTTGCAAAAGGAGCACTAGGCATCAGAAAGAGATGATTGGAAGAATACATTACAGCCACAAAACTATGTGCGTTCGCGGACTAGACATTATATCGCGGAGAAGCTCCAGTTCCAGGGACTGGTTTTTTTCCGGTTCGCCCCCCTTCGTAGAAAGTTCAAGTTGGAGAAGCACCCATTCAAGCGAGCTGAAGACACTGTCTTTTCTCCGCAAAATTATAGCCTCAAGAGGTATCACCCGGGGCACTACCAGATCGCTAGCCAATTGTTCAATATAGACATGGTTGAGCAAGAGCCCAAATCCGCTTTCAAATTACCCGAATCGGCTAGCCAACGCATCTCAGATGAAGATATTCTTCATTCTTCTCGAACCTTACAAAGAGACTTCTCTTATGCCTGAAATAATTCAAGAACACTATCGAACTAGTCATGGCTCCGATAATTATCCTCAAAGAGCCACCTGCCCTCGACCCGGCATGGCTAGCTCACGAAAGAACTGCAAATCTGCTAGCCCCCAAACCCATCACCACAGACCCAACAGAGCGGCAAAGAATATACAGCGAAACATGCAAAGCACGCAACACCTCTCTCCTCTCCAACCAAGACAAAGCCCTCAATGACGGAATTTTCATTCAAGACTCCTTCATCAAAGCACTAGAAGAGAACCACTCAATTCCAATCAGATGCTACAGCTCAAACTCCCCACACGACCCCGAAAGTAAAGCAGCACAAAACACAATAATATACTACCACGGCGGCGGTCTCACAGTCGGCGACCTAGACAGCGAAGACCTCTCCTGCCGCCGCATCAGCAAGACCCTACAATGCACCGTCTACTCCATCGCCTACAGACTCATGCCCCAACACAGCGCCGACGACGCCCTAGCCGATGCTCTTACCGCATTTCGCCACATCTCCCAAACCCCCCAACTCACAAACGGGAAACTCGTACTTGTAGGCAGTTCATCAGGCGGCCAACTAGCTGCTCAAGTTTCGCAATTCGCGCGCAGGGGTAATGGCGAATCAGGGGAAAGTACTTGTAGAGTTGATGGAGTACTACTCCGTTGCCCGGTCACATGTGATGCAGCGAATCTCCCAGCAAGGTTTAGGGATGCTCATGTTTCGATGGATGTTGCGTTTCATACGAGTTTGCTTTCTGCACCTGCGCTGACAGTGGAGAATCGCACGGTGGAGAAGTTGCCGCTTGAAGAGGAGGGTTTAAGGGGGCTGCCGAGACATTGGGTGCAGGTGTGTACGAATGATGTTTATTATTCGGATGGGGTTTGTTATGTAGAGGCATTGAGGGAGCAGGGGGTAGATGTTAGGGTGGATATGGTGGTGGGATGGCCGCACACTTTTTGGTTGAAGGCACCCAGATTGGAGAGGGCTGTTGAAGCGGAGAGGGATATGGTTGAGGGGTTGAGGTGGTTGTTGGAGGGTTAAGCTAATATTGAGACGGGGCTTGGAATTTAACTCTAGCTTTTAGAACGGTTTTGGCTCTGATTCTTGTTACGCCGACCAAGGAAGTATGGCCATTGCACTTTAAGATTGACCGTTCAACGGATCCTTTCCGTTCTTCACACTTGTGATTCTGAATAATACGTGCTAGACACTTCCATGCCAAGTCAATCGCACTGAATTCATGCACAATTTGTTGAGGCTCCAACTTCTGCTTCTTCTACTCGTCCGCTATTTACACAAGTACAGGTAACATAGGAAATGATGCGAGTTCGTTGTCTACAGGATCGAGAGGTCGCCGAATTTCTCCTGTAAAGGCATTAGTCCGTATCCATAGGTAGAATTCGCTCCTGCGGAAACATACCTTGTAGCCAGGTACCATCCAGCGTCCCTTGGAAACGAGTTGGTTGGTCTTCTCATCAATTTGAGGCTCAGCAGCAGCAATTTCATCCTGCAAACACTATTAGCACAGTCCCATGTCCACGAACCAGCGATACATACCACGGTGAGATCCTCAAACGGTCTCGCGCTCTCAATGTTCTTCAACGTCTTCTCCAAATCCTTCAACTCCAACTCAACGCGCCCCACGGTCTCAACAGCATCCTTGACAGCCTGCGCCTCAAAAGCCTCGATGGCCTTCACCTGCCTGTTAACATCATAAGTCGCTGGCTTGAAGGTGCTGAAGTGCTTCTCGATTTCATCAACGACGGCTTGGTTCTTGAGGGTCGAGCGGTAGTGCGCGAAGTCGACCTTGGAGGGCTGTTCGGAGAGCTGCTGCACGCGGCGGCGCGCGTCTTCGTTGCGCTTCTTGAAGGCTTGGAGGGAGGCGGAGGTTTGGCCACGGAGACCGAGGGATTGGGTTATTTTAGCCCAGTCGAGCTTGAGTGCTGCGCTTCGCTGTGAAGAGGGTATGTTAGCTGTGTTCAAGACGAAATTGCTGGAGCTTTCGGCAGCGCTCGGCAACTTGTGTCATTCCCGTAACCTTGAGAGGAGATACATTGAGGTTCGGGAGGAGTAATAGAAGTTAATTGAGCGGTTGAACTTACTCCGGCTGCCATTGTGACGGTATTGGGACAATTGGATGGAGTGGAGAATGTAGGTGAGTTGAAGGTTCGTCGTCAAAAAGAGCTCTTCGGGCGGAGCCGCTAGGAACACAGTCACGTGATTACACATCTTCCATCAACCGGAATAAGATCCCTGAATCCGTTAAAATATTACTATTGTTTGGTTGGTTTGAGCGGTATCAAGGGTATCATTGGTATAGAAACTTATTATTAGGGCGAGACAAGAGCTGCTACAATAGCCTTACCACGAAATAGAACTCGGTGGATGTCTGAAGTAACACGATCAAAGTTAATAGTCATTGACTAGTCACACTCAGTATCAAAGCGAAAGGCCCAGTATGATTGTCAGAAATGTGCAATATAGCAATTCCATTCAAAATACACTTTTTGGTTGCAGATCAAACTGCATCTACCACTATCCACACCCTCCCAAAAGAAAGGCACGGCAAAGCAGACAAGCCAGATATGACAAAGCTACAGACCCTATATACTCAGAGCCATAATAGAGTTGACTATATCATTGTCGTTCTCCTTCAACGCATTGACAGCCTTCTTCCGCGAGACGCTTGCTTGGGTCATGACCAATTCAATATCCTTGTCCTCAAGACCTGAAGCATCGACCTCCTCTCCATCATCCTCTTCATCGTCCTTCTTGTCATCACCAGTCTCAACAGCCTTGCCCTTGCCGTTGTCGTGGGAGTGATCGTGGCCCGAGTGGTCGTGTCCAGCGTGGTCGTGGGACTCGGCAGCAGCAAGTTGCTGGGCAGCGGAAGCCTGGGCCTGGGAGTTGAGATCCTCGATCTTAGCCTCACCGAAAACACTGTGAAGGTGTTAATTAATTGGTTGCGCAAAGCAAGAGCTTGTTCTTACATGTAGGTGTTGCTGGATGGGGACTTGTAGACCTCTGGTTGGTTGATGACGAAAAGGATCTATTCCCAAGTTAGCATGCAGTAAAAATCGGGAGAACATGCGATTGACGAGGAGCACAATTCAACAAGCTTCACTTCGCTACTGAACCAAGTCTTCACCCAAGAGTTGTGCTCCTCCTCAATCCCAGAATCGAGTACTTACGCCCTTTGGTCTTCTCAAGGTAACTCTGGTGATGCCAGGGACTCTGGTAAGACCGAGCTTTGCAATCGACTTGCGGGCCTTCTTCTCGTTGCGAGAGTGCACAATAGCTCCTCCCTCGGGAATGCCACTGTCCTCGCCAGCCTCCGCATCAGATTCTTCGCTCTCGGATGCTTCGTCCTCTGCGGTGACGTTCTTGGTGGGCTCGTCATCTGGGAGTTCTTCAATGCGTGGGTTCGACATGTTGGGTGGTATGTCTAGAGTTGCAAAGTTAGCAGATTGAAGATGTCGAGTGGTGATTTTTTTTGAAGGAATATTCTCGTTGTGCGCTTGCGCTGAACGGAGTTTGGTGAAGCGGGCTGCACACGACAAGCTTCAAGAGGGATAATAGAGTCGCAGTACCACTGACCTGGAGGAATGAATGTGAGGAGGGGTAATTGTGTATGTTCAAGAGGGTTCAAGAGGGAAGAGGATGAAGCTTCGTTAGGGCTCGAGATTCGGCTAAGATTTTAGATCGTCAAAATTGAGTACAGTACAGTTCACCGTCATTTAATAATACCTAGAAGCAACCTCACCTCTTAAGTTGAAGGCAATAACAATCGCCCAATCTTAAATTGAATTTTGACTTGAAATAGCTGAAACTTATCCATGCTAGTTTTGGACACATAATTTACATTTACAAATATCACTGCATATACAAGGCTGGAAGGTTTTGGTATTTCGTTGCATTTTATTCCGCAAGCACTTCATTATTTGATGAAGCCCATATGCTCTTGACGCCTGTCAAATTTGACGTAGGATACAAAGCTTCCTGAGAAGCAAGGGAATCCAGCAACCCGATGCAGTCATGCTCGCAATCCCAAATTCAACATCTATTTCGCAGCCGCCTTCAACTTCGCCAACGATGTCTTGACCTGGAAACCCGCCTGCTTCTTCAGTCTCATGACCTTGAATCGCTCGAAATCTGTCAAAGCTCGTCTCTTCTCCTTTTGGCTACGCTTCTTAGCCCACGCACTCTCTTGCCACTTTGCCTCGATACCAGCCTTCTCCCATTGCGCCTTGACCACTCCAGTTCGTGCGCCTCTTGGGAGCTTTTCGAGAACAAGGGGTGTGAGGATGAGTTGTGCAAGGGCGATTGATTGACGGGGAACGGCGATTTTGGTGTCTGTTGCTGGTCCATCGATGAGGGCCTATATGTTTGTTAACACCTGCACTTGTCTCTTGAGTTCGGATATCTCCAAGAATCTAGACATACCCGCTTGTGGTCGATGATCTCAACAATCGTAGCCAGCTTGCCTGCTGCATCTCCTCCGTGGATGAGTACAATACGGCCGACTTCCACCAGTCTCCATGACGATGCCTTGATCTCTGCGTCACCCATTGTGAATGTTTCTGAAGAGGAAGAGTCAGTATAAGAAGTCGGGAACTGTGGGTGGAATTTGGTAGACGTACTGGGCGAATTGTCGAGGGTGCTGTTATCGAGTTGAAGTTGTCGCGAGAAATGCAGAAATTCGTTCAGAATCGCTCGAGAGGTTTAGCGAGTGTGCGAGCACTAAAAGTTGTGTTTGAGCCTAAGGATATAAGGCATTTATGCATTAGCGCCATCACCATCAAGTGTTAAAAAGTTCCGGAAGCTCGAGAACTTTTCCAACCACAACCACAAAATAAATCCACGAAAACATGCTTCCACGACACAATTCGAGGACTTGCATCCCTCTCACAGACAGTGTCTATATGACTACTAACTACTTCTACCTTGACAAGATCTCGAGCGAACTCTTCTAGGAATTGACTGTAAGTGCTAACATATTTTCTCTCTACTTCCCACTATCCAATGATGATATAATTTGCGATCGACCATACTCGGTGGCACCCTCGCCAGGGTAGCTATATCGAGTTTGTGGATGAGATTCAATCTTACATATTCTGAAACTTTCCTTGACATTTAATATTTGTGTGAAAAATCAGAGACGTATAATTCGCTGACTTGAAGAAGAATGATTTAGGTGCCGCTCTTACGACATACTCTGGCATCGCAATGCCTTCCATTTTGGCCCACGCTCACCACACCTTTGTCGCTAGCTGAGAACCAGAAGGATAAACGGAGGCCTTTGGAACGCATCCTTTGGGAATAATCAAATGGTACGCGCACGCTTTGACACTTTCAGCAGTTCTACCTGCATTACTTGTCTATGATTAAAAAAACGCACTGAAAATCCTTAGCTCTACGGAGCAATGATTATTTCATAACCAAGATCACTGAGCTGGACAAACCAAATCATCTCTTCGCTTCATCAAACATTTTGGTGACTGCTTGCTGATTAGTTCAAATAGAATTCCTGTCCTTCGCGTACCGTATGCAACACAAGACCGTGAGAGCCTTCAGAGGAGTCCATCGAAAGGCAAGGCAGGTGCAGTCGCTTGATGTTGTCGGTGAGGCACATCATTGCGCTTTTCTTTCATTAGCAGTCCAATAAATACATTTCTATCCTGCAATATACAACTTCCTATGACCTCGATCCTGCCATCAAGCGTGACCTGCGTCAAAACCTTCCCAGCTTAATGCCTCTTGTCTTCCTATTTCATCACAACAACCTCCGGCTCCTTCTCCTTTCCCACCGCCCCATCAATTCCATGCGCCTCCCTGTCAATGTTCTCAAACAACACCTTCGCCCCACACTGCGCCACTGCATTCCCAATCTGCTCGTAATAGCTCCCCTCAAAACACATGTCCCGCCAACAACCCCCCCTCCCCCTTTGGCGCCGCATACTTCCTCATCGTAAAGTCCCTCATCATTCAGATGCAAGTTCCCTCCATGCATCGTCACGGCACGGGGCACAATCTGGTTGTCACCATAGACGCATGGAACTTGTCAGGCTTGAAGCGGACATTGTCAAAGTCGTGGTCAAGTCCTGTGATAGGCAGACAGGCGGCCCAATAGACCTTTTCCTTTGACAAGTCGCGGTAGCATAAAGGGCCCGTTGCATGCGTAGCAGGTGTCATTGCGGGGATGCCCCCGGGGTATGAAGCTATATGCAGAGAGGGATGGATGCACGGCTGGAGCTAGAAATCGACCCATGAGAATGGATAGAATTGATGTATTGGAGTATGCAGCCAGCGATCGCTGTTTCCTTCTGCTTCTAGGTCAATAGGTGTACTGGCTGGAAGTGCCGGGTCTCGCTACTATCCTGGGAATCCTGTATGGTGCGGCTGAGACGTGGAGAACCATCGAGGGAGGTCCAAGGCAAGGGCTGACATTGTGTCAAAGGTTGTGAATGACCCTGACTTTTGATGTAAGAAGTACCGTAGAATTGTGGTCTGCTCGGAACTTGGCGCCACGGTACCAAATTTGCGGACCGGCGATAGTATTGTTGGAGCTAATCGCTCTCTAAGCTGATATGCCATGAAAATGCCATCCTATTGCCTTTTCAGAGCTGGAGCTTCTACAAAGGTCCCCTTAACGATGGGGTTGCTGAGATCGGAATCTACTCGGTTCTATCATGGAGGTAAACGTTGAAAGAGATAGGGAAATAACAAGAGTCAAGACCCTTAAACATTGAAATATGTCTTGCAAGAGCTGTCAAACAGTGGTATATCTGCAGGAATTCTCAGATCATTTTCACCAGCAACCATGATGATATTGTCATCGTCAATGACTACAACCACGTGCCTCTTTAGGAAGGCATGGAACCCTATGCTGGCGTTTGTAAGAGTAACATATCAGAATCAAAGGGTAAATCAGGAAAAAGTCATGCAAGGAATGTCAGATTGAGATATCTGTGGAGCAGCAGGGCTCGTTTATAAGAAATTGAAGTAAATGGTTTAAGTGATAGAATTGTGCGTGCTTGGGTCTTCTGTGAAGAAACGTGATTGAAATCGATTAGGAATCAGCGATTCATGAAAAATCATGAATATGAAGTGAAACCGGGTATAACTTCATGAATCCTTCATGAAGAGCAATAAGACCGTGAATATGAAGCGTGAAGAGGGGGTCTTAGTTCATTCTCTTCATTGTGGAGACCTATCTGCAGGATCCCCGGACCAAACATATGAGTTTGAACAATCTTGATCACGGTAGCAAACGAAGGAAGGATGAGGCAAAAACTCTGCAGAATATCCAAGGAGGCGGTTGCAAGATTAGTATGTATCTATGTATCCGGAGGCGTGGGATACAGGAAGCATATACCTCCTTTCAGCTCTGGAGACATCAACGTTCCTGCAAGGCTATAAATAGGGCTGTGGCGTTTTAAACTCGGTAACCAATCAGAAGCCTGAGATTACAAAATATCTAGTTGGTTAGACGTTGTCAATTGAAGGGGACTGTAGATAGGAACCTTCTCTCGTTTCGAAGTATTAGACCTAGACCTACTGATCTTTACGTGTAACAAAGCTAAATATGCCTTTTGATCCCGAAAGACCAAATAAGTACTGCAAGGCGGTTGCGCTGCTGCCTGTCAAAATCCGGTGTTCCGCTAAGAAAAATAACCGAGAAATACTTTTCAAAAGGCTCCGATTTTCGCGCGGGACATTCTCTCCTAAATAAAAAATGGAGGTGTATCAATCCACAAGTTTCAGCAGCCTTCTGCCTCCTCTTCTTCGAAAGAGTCCTGAAAGATATTTAGGAACCCTCCTACCGAACGATTGAGAAGATACTAGTACCTCTCCAGGCCGTTATCTACACCATTACCCATCTCTTCCTTCGAGCCCCGCGCATCCCGCAAGCACCTCGACAACCAAGCAAGTGAGTCTCTCTACCTACAAAAGCTGGAATTGTTTCTCGATTCCTCTGTTGTCAAGATGATATAAATATAAAAGATGTTAGACTTCCAAGTTCCTTGTGAACGTTGAAGACAACATATTTTGACTGAACAACCTGCCCCACCTTGCTTGACGTCGTTGGAAAACTGTTTCTTGCTCCAGCTGACAGGTTTGCATTAGCTTCACTTCAACAGTGCCTTCCTTTCCATATCTATCAAGATGTGTGGAATCCTCGGACTCATTCTCGGCGATCTCGACGACCCCTCCTCCACGACTGCGGCTACCGATCTTCACGATGCCCTTTACTACCTTCAACATCGAGGACAAGATGCGTCAGGGATTGCTACTTGCGCCTCTGGCGGAAGGATCTACCAGTGCAAAGGCAATGGCATGGCAGCCAAGGTCTTCCATGACGGGTCCAGAGTACAAGACCTTCCCGGTTTCATGGGCTTGGGACACCTGAGATACCCCACTGCTGGCAGCAGCGCGAGTGCTGAGGCTCAGCCCTTCTACGTGAACAGCCCTTACGGAATTACGTTTGCGCACAACGGCAATTTGATCAATGCCGAGGATCTTCGGATATACCTCGACAAAGAGGGCCACAGGCACATCAATACCGATAGCGATAGCGAATTGATGTAAGTGTCCCATGTTAGAGCAGTGTCTCCTTACCCCGCACATCTCATAACTCGCTGGCTCTTTCATCATCGTTTCAAAGTGATCACTGCATTAGCCATGACCAAAATTTCATTTTTCCAGATGGTTCTAACTACTACAGGTTGAACATATTCGCCAACGAGTTGAATGAGACCGGAAAGGCTCGAGTCAACGAGGAAGATCTCTTCAATAGCTTGGAGCGAATGTATGGAAGATGTATTGGAGGTTGGGCTTGCACAGCTATGCTGGCTGGTTTTGGCATTCTTGGCTTTCGTGATCCTCACGGCATTCGCCCTCTCGTTCTAGGAGAACGCCCTTCCGAAACCCTTGCCGGCACCATGGACTACATGATGGCTTCCGAATCGATCGCTCTACTTCAAGGTGGTTTTGGAAACATTGTGGATGTCCTTCCTGGACAAGCGGTCATCATTCGCAAGGGATGCAAGCCAACTTTCCGCCAAGTCGTTCCTCAGATTTCGTATTCCCCGGACATTTTTGAATACGTTTACTTCGCGCGACCTGATACGATTATTGACGGCATCAGCGTCCACCGAAGTCGACAAAATATGGGTTACAAGCTCGCTGACCAGATCGTCCAAACGCTCGGCGCCGAAGCTATCAAGGAAATCGACGTTGTTATTCCTATCCCGGAGACATCAAATACAGCCGCGGCTAGTTTGTCGGAGCGACTCAAGATCCCATATTGCCAAGGCTTTGTTAAAAACCGTTACGTGTTCCGGACTTTCATCATGCCTGGACAAGGTGCACGTCAAAAGTCCGTACGTCGAAAGCTAAGTGCCATTCCATCTGAATTTGCCGGTCGGACTGTTCTCCTCGTCGATGACAGTATTGTCAGAGGTACTACTAGCCGAGAAATTGTTAGCATGGCGAGAGAAGCTGGGGCCAAAAAAGTAATCTTCGCTTCAAGTTCTCCTCCTATTACACATGCTCATATCTATGGTATCGACCTTGCTTCTCCACAAGAGCTTGTCGCGCACAACCGGGACCGTCATGCTATTGCTAAAAACATTGGTGCTGAGGAAGTCATTTACCAATCTCTCGATGATCTGAAAGCCGCTTGTGCGGAGCTCTCACCACGAGGTCCGAGCCAGACATTTGAAGTTGGAGTTTTCTGTGGCAAATACGTCACTCCGGTTACTCCCGGTTACTTTGAGCATCTAGAAAGGATCAGAGGCGAGAGTAAAAAGCTGAAGATTATTGAAAGTGCTAAAGAAGCCGTTATGAACGGCGTCGCTGGGGCAGAAGAGTTTAATTTGATTACCCATGGTGCAGTTGTCAACGAAAAGGGCCAAGTTGTTCCGGAGCAGAAGGACGGGGTGCATGACAAGGCCAGTGGAGATACAAATGGATTAGCTCGACGTAAAAGAGAAAGAGATGAAGCAGGTACTCCGCCCGTCAGGGATCGTCATGATATCAGGTAAGTTACTTTTCCTAGACTTAGGAGTTGACCTAACAAGCTACAGCTTACATAACTTTGCGAATGAACCCGAGAGAGGGTACGAATAAACAAGTATTGGATCTGTAGACTGGACATGGCGTAAAACTGGGGCTGCATCCTTTGAGGCGTTTTGATGCATATATGCAAGTCTAGGCAATCCAAGCCTAAATGGTTGCGGATATTTGGGAAGCTGACTGCATACTTGTAACTACAAAATCGGAAATACTGTATATTCGAAGATCTTTTCGCATGATGTTTTAATACCTTGAAGTCTAAGAGACAGCATTTTCTCTTTGCTGATCCCACCTTTGGTGAAAGCAATAGAAAGACTGAAGAAGAAAGATTGAATGTGTTTTCAATAGGTAGAAAATCACATTCCTCGCTTATAGCAGTGGTATTGCCGTTCAAAGTTGTTCGCGCACGGCCCAGGTATGGATATAATCGTCATCATTGGACGGACCAAGCTCTTTCGCTTTTCTCCTCCTCACCCATCAACAAACTATTAGCCATCGCCCTTACAATCAATGCTGAGCATTTTCAGCAAGTGCCACCGAAATATTCCAAGACATTCTCCATATTCGTGTCAGCCAGGTATAGCTTTCAGTGTCATGGCGCCCCGCAAGAAGAAGAATATCTCCCAAACCGTGACCGTTTCTGACAGCCTTCCTCATAATATGGGCCCCGTCCCCAAAATCATCAAATCAGAAACACTAGCAAAGCCTTTGGAGGAGGGGCTTGTCGATAGCCCGCCACCAGAATCCCCGGTTGCTGAGGAGCTGGTCACGCCTACAAAAGCTACTCCCAGGGTCAAGAAAAAGGCTCACAAGTACAAGCTCAACTATGAGCAATCACCTTTTCCAAATCACCACCTTCCAACACCCGAGACTGCCGAGGAAGTTCATCGCCTTCTATCCAAGGAGCATGGGCAACGCAAAGCACCAACGAAAGTCCCGCCACCTTCGGCTACTATAAGCGGCTGCGGAGAAGTACCTGATCTCCTTGATGCTCTCTTACGAACTGTTTTGAGTGCAAATACTTCAGGTACCAATAGCGCTGCAGCCCTTCAAGGTCTTATTCAGACGTTTGGTGCAGTTGATGGCAGTCCGAATTGGCGTGCCGTTTCCCAAGTCAAGCCTGAAGATATTACTAAGGCGATTCACAAAGGAGGACTTTCAGTTGTTAAGGGAAAGACCATCAAGAATATTCTCAACATAATTCATGCACAGAATGTTGAGCGTCGGGATGCACTTTTGAGAGAGAAATCTACCGGAGAACCCGCCGATGTCCTTGCAACTGGCCATCTCACTCAAATCCAGAAAGATGCAGAAATAGATAGGATCAAAGAGAATCCATTGACTATGGCTTGGATGTTTGAGATCAAAAAAGACAGCGACATCATCGATGAGTTGCTCAAACTCCCTGGCATCGGTGTTAAGACAGCTTCTTGTAGTCTCCTTTTCAACATGCAGCGTCCAAGTTTCGCTGTTGACACCCATGTTCACCGTCATTGCAAGTGGCTTGGATGGGTGCCGCCAAATGCCACGGCTGATCAGACTTTCAACCATTGTGACTTGTGGCTGCCATCACATCTCAAGTACGGGTTGCATTCGCTGTTCATCAAACACGGAAAGACATGCTATAAATGTCGCGCGAATACGAATCCTGGGTCGGCTGACTGGAAGAAGGCTAAAGACTGTCCGATAGAGCACCTCGTCGATAGGGAGTTGACGCGGAAACCGCGAAAGAAACGAAAGATTGAGGATAGTGATGAGTCTGAGGGAGATCCAGAGGGCACGGGTGTAAAGCAAAAGAAGTCATCTGGAAGAGGTGATGTCAAGCCAACCAAGAAGGCAGCAAAGACGACCAAGTCAGAGTCAGTGAAAGTAACTTTGCCGAAGACAGAGGCCGTAAAAGCAACCCGTTCAGGGCCTTTGAGAGCGAGCGCAGTCAAAGCAAGAGCAAAGTCATCGCAAGTCAAGGACGATTCAGGGAGTGAGGTTGAGGAAGTGTTCTCCGAGTACGATAAATAAAGGATCTTAAAGACAAGTTATAGACCAACACAAGGCGCAAGCATTAACATCAGAAGAATTTCCATCAATCTACGCCACATGTGACTGGACATGGGGACGAGGAGGGGGGCTAAGCCATCTCGTATTGTCTCAATTTCATGAGACATTTGCTCGCTTTTGCAGATGAGAATTTAAGACGGAGAGGAGGGAGAGGAGGGAGAGGAGATGATATTATTGATATACATTGTGGAACTCGGGATCCTTTACTACCACTTTAACGACCAAGGATTTTACATCAATGATCCTTGACCATAGCCATAATGAAACCATTCATAGCTGGTGTGGGTATCATTGGGTGTGTAGCCGCCGTTGACACAAGGGTGGCCATCACTCTGTCGTCCTTGCCAACCTTCGTCAAGATAGAATCACTACCACCCTCCCCCGTCTGCCCATTCTTCAGCATCGAGACCACCACATCGTCTAAAAAGACACACCCCTTTGGCCGTGTCAATTTCACTGCCCAGTCGAAATGCTCCCACTGATCATCAAAGTCCGCGTCAATGAACACCATATCGAATTGTCTTCCCTCCTCTGCCAGCTTCGGCAACACTTCCAGCGCTGCGCCGAGCAAAATTTCCACGTCAAGACCATCCACATTCTCCAGTGCCACATCCCGGTGTCTTGGGTCAATCTCAATGCTTGTCACCTTGGCGCCAGCTTCTGCAAAACAGATCGTCGAGTAGCCGCCCAGAGTACCGATCTCCAGTACTGATTTTGCACCCATGATCCCGGCGAGGATGGATAAATACTGCCCTGAAAGAGGAACGACGCTGATGGGCGGGAGACCTTTGGCTTTTGAGTTGGCCAGCGCATGTGCTAGCTTGGGGTTGGGACGAAGAAGAGCAGATTGAGCGGCGTTATCAAAGCGAGGAGCCAAGCGGAAGTTCTCAAAATCGATGACCTTTTCCATGGATCGGAAAATCTCTGTCTCGGGGGTCAATTCCATGGCTATGGTTGATGGTGTAGAATGGGAGTATGCAATGTTGTGTGTCTGTCAATTCATCAGTTATCCGCTGGGAATACGACATATTTATAGAACTTTGAGAGATCTTTCGTCAAGGGTGATCGACGTATCTAGGATACAGCGAAAGCGGATGTAAAGATTCTTGGGCGCGGCCATAAGTGACGCATGTCTAACCATATCCCCGTTCGGGTCTGGTGATTTGGGGGTGGACAGCTCGTGGGCGCAGAAAGAGATATCTTGATGCATCTCATTTTGAAATGATAATAGCACCACTGGCAAAGTCTTATTCGTGTCTTTTACTCGATTTTTTTTAGAGCTGACATCGGCTTGTTCTGTTCTAAAAACCCACGGCAACCAATGGACAGCCGGCTCAACTACTGTAATGGCTAAATTCAGATTTATTTTGTGTCCTTAACCATCAACTCAATGGACTAGGCGGCGCGGCGTGGGCGTGGGCGTGGTAACGGGGCGGGGCCCGGATTATAGGAAGCGATAAAGCCTATGGATGCAATAAAGCCAAGTTCTTATTGGCGGACTCGACGGAATTGACGGACGTAAGTACGGAGTAATAAGTCCAATGTCCCAGGTGCAGTGAAATAATGATAATCTAGGTCCGCAGCTGCATCCAATATTTACATTTCTTTACACCCGTAATCATACCTAACAACATCAATTAGAAATACGTGTATGTGGTGTGTTCGGCGCGCCATAGTCCTGGAATATGTCCGAACCCAGAAGACCCCCCCGAACTCGTCGAAGACCTGCATTCTCGTGTGACGAATGTCGACGTCGAAAAATCAAGTGTGATCGAACTCAACCATGCAGACACTGCGGGCAATCAAATGCTGCTTGCAAATATGCTGAAGGTGCTGCCCCTCTCAACCGTCAAAATGCTCCTGCAGCTAGCTCTCATCGTATAATCGCGCCCCCAACTCCAATATCAGTCATTTCAACTGCCTCATCATCGTTGGGTGGTTTATCAATCTCCAGTGGTAGAGATGAACGTCTTCAACTCCTTCCCCAGAAGGCCTGTAAAACCCCTAATATCAATAAAGAAAATACCGAGGACTCACCAAAAGTACGTGCTCTTTTTGGAAGTGTACAGAGGCTGGAGCACTTGTTGTCAGAGTACATGTCAGATGGAGGGCCGGGAATCTCGAATCCACCTAAATCTACGGAACCTCGTGCTCAGTTGCAAGGGATACTTTCCAAGACAAGATATTGTGGACCAAGTCATTGGATGAATCTGGTTGGCTTGGTAAGCCTTATTCGCAAATCTCTTTACACAGACTTCGACTGACTCTGGAAGTTTGATATTATTGCAGCTCCGACAGGTACTTCAGTTCCAACCCACTCGTTCAGCAAAGGCATTATGACAACAGATGTTCCTGCTGTAATGAAGAAATGCAAGGCGATAGCAAAATCGTCCAAATTTAAGATTTATGATGAGTGGAAGGCAAACCCGGACTTTAGAGCCTCCATACCACCCCCTGAAACTTGCGAAGTTCTACTCGATGCATACTTTCGGACCGCTGAATCAGCTTTCAGGATCTTTCACATACCAACATTCAGAAAAGAATATGACCAATACCGGAACCAGCCACTTCTCGCGAGTGATAGTTTTATCCTCAGAATGCTGCTTGCCATGGCCATTGGAGTAACGTACTACCAAGAACCCGATGTTGAGGAATTGCGTACCCAAGCAAAGAAATGGATATACGCAGCCCAATCTTGGTTATCAGAAATACCATACGAGAAGAGTCGGCTGAGTATCGCGGGGTTGCAATTACATTGCCTCCTGCTCATTGCCCGCCAGAGCCTTGTTGTGGTGGCTGATCTGGTCTGGATATCAGCTGGTTCTCTAGTACGACGAGCCTTCTCCATGGGTTTGCACAGAGATCCTAAATACTTCCCAAATATGGGCGTGTTGCAAGCAGAGATTAGACGAAGGCTTTGGGCAACGATAGCCGAGCTTAATGTGCAGTGTTCTGTGGAATCGGGGATGAGACCCTTAATCCGTTCCGATGATTTTGATACCGAAGCTCCGGCAAATATTAACGATGAGGAAATCGATGAGAATACAAACATCCCACCTGTTTCGAAACCGAGTGATGTTTTTACTCAGACTTCTATCCAAATCACTCTCTTGTCGTCATTGAGAACCCGAATCGAAATACTTCAAGTTTCCAATTCTTTGAACTCTGAGCCTTCATACGAAGAAGTCTCGAGGTTGGGCGAAATCATGAATAAAGAATGCAGAGCGAACGGTTCTTTCGTCCGGAAGATTCGAAGTCAAAAAGCAGAGCCGAGACCATCGCAACTCCAGGTATGGTTACGTCCAAGCCAGAAAGGTCCACTGATGCTGAAACAATACAGTGCAATGTTTTGGACCTCTATCTCCGCCGCTTTATTCTTATTCTCTGTTGCTCAATCGCAACTAAACCACAGAATGATCTTCGGCATTATTTCGCCAGAAAGATGTGTCTCGATTCATCTGTGGCGATGATGAGCTACGCCAGTAGTGAAAGCGGCACCAAGCAATCATTAAAAGATCTCCCCTACGACGACTACACATGCCTGCGAACACGCTCCGGGGGCTTTTTCGAAAGCGTCATCCCCCATAGCATCATCATCATATTCCACGAGCTCGTCACACAGCTGAAGGAACAAGACTCCTTCATCAGCCAAAGCCAGGAACTCCGACAACCCCTGAAGAACATTCTCCGCGAAGCTTGCGAGCTCCTAGCCGTGCGGATCTCGGTGGGGAAGAATAACGTCAAAGGCCACTTGTTATTCTCTGCCGCGTTGGGACAGATCGAGGCTATTGAAGCTGGGACGTCTGTTTCTCAGGGTGCTGTAGAAGGCGCTAAAAGGAGTGCTGAGGTATGTTCCGCTTTGATGGCTGATACTGAAGGTATATTGGCACCGGAGCTTGAAAATACACAACGAGATGGGCTGGGTTTTGAGACGCAGGATTGGAGCATGGACTTTGTTATGCCAGATGCTTGGTTGTTTTCGGCTTGGGATGGTAGTCAAGGTGACGACTGGCCCATTTCGTAACTTGATCATGCATCCAACTCTATTTAAAAATCCGATTTAAAGGATGAAGCAAATCTTTATTAAAGGTTCTACAGCATTATCTTCGTCAAATATACCACCTAGTTGACGGCATATTCAAGCAGTGCTAGGAAGTAGTACTTTATTGACTCCCATAGTGTTTTACAGCCTTCCTTATTAAAGGACTATTAATCATGAACCCTTAGGCTCTTGATTATGCTCCCCTATGCTAGATAATAAAAGCGGCACTTACTCTTATTAACTTTTAATAATGTCTCATGCTATCTAGCATATTATAAATTGTATGCCGCTTTTTTCTGACCACTAGGAGGCTTCTTCTTTTCATGGAGACGGCTGTAAAACACCGTAGGAGTCAATCTGCCTGGTAGTTGAAATCGCACTCATTCTCACCCTGCTTTTCTTTAGCGAGCCCCTTTTGATAAAGGGAAGTTGCTGATAAACAACTGTTGGATCTCCACAACTTTGCTTTCAAGGCGCCATACCCAGGAAATCTGCGTTATTTTGGACTGCCGACTCTGTAACCGCTCGGTTGGGATGGGGTCTAAAAATAATTGCGACCGGCGACCGCGATCTTTCGCTTCGTTGTGTTGGCGTTTCAAAGCCCAGCGCCTAAGTTGGAACTTCGCCCCCATGCCAGCGACGTCCAACAACATCTAACTACTATCTTTTGTACTTATATGCTGTCTCACCTCCATCTTGAATGAAAACCAATAACCATTCTCGATAGAATATTTTCGTCAAATCCCAATAGACTTACAATTCAAGGCCTCCACCACCAACCACCCCGCATCTCCACCTCATCCACCCCCCACCGAAAAAGAATGTCGTGTCCCCCAACATCATCCCTAGCTAATACAACCTTCGTCAACGCCTGCATCGTCGGCAACGCCACAGCAAACACCATCATAACATCCGCCCTCCAAACATGCTGCGGCCCCACCAACGTCTTCACGACCGGCTGCTACACCTACTGCAACATCACCAGCGCCGCCGACCAAGAATTCTGGACCCTGTGTCTCATGAACAACCTGCAGCCCGCAGACTTCCTCCCATTAGATGCCTCGTGCGCCAATCCCCCAGACAACACGACGGCCGTGGGCAGGATCGCGACGACGTGGATGCCGCCCGATGTTACGTTTACGCAGACGTATACTGATGAACAGGGGAGTGCTGTCAGTACTGCTACTGTTGATGCGGGGACTTTGACGTCGGATAGCGTGAGTGGTAGCGTGTCGCAGACGCAGACGGATTCGCAGTCGGAGGCGCAGACTCAGGCTCAGGTTGTGCTTGCGGAACCGACGGGGAATTCAACACCGACATCGGCGACATCGTCGTCAACAGGGTATTCAGTTGTGCTTTCTGTGACGAGTTCACAACCAAAACCCACGTCCGTTTCTTTGTCGCCCTCACCCACGGCGACGACGTCGAAATCAAAGGCGGCTGGGGGTATGAGAGTCTCGAGGTTTGGAGCTGTAGCGTTATGCGGACTTGTATGTATTGGGATGTGGGTGTAATGTAAAATCGGGGAAAATAGAAGCGACAAATATAATCGGAAACGCGAATTCAAGACAATCCCTGCAACCGAATGAGACACCTAACCCCACACTCTATAAAGAAGAAACCAGTTATGCATTCCGATTTGAGCAACGATGACAGAATGTACAATCGTCGAGGAGTGTAATGAACAGTGAAGCAAAGAGCTGCAAAGGAACCTGTGATAAACCCACCCACGTGACTAATTATCCTTGGTGTCATCAACCTCCACCCAATGAGCCTAAATCAGGAATTCCAATTCTGGCAACCTACATACGTTTTGTTGCATTTCGCGGTTAGATAGAGCCGGTGTCTCCGCGGGAGTTGTCCGGAGGCTGACCGCAGGCTAGGCCAGTTCTTCCAGGAAACTGTGCATTCATTTGGCCCTACTAAAAACCCTCCTCATTCATCCGAATTACGAAAATCCTAGTCTCGTAGACTGAATATACTTTAAGAACTTTCAATTCTCCTGCTGGGCTGAAAGCGCCACGGCGGAACCCATTTCGAACACTCAAAGATTTCCAACCATCTGATAAAATGTCTCATGTCCAACAGGTGGGTCATTTTGTTTAGGTTGTTGGTCGACGAAGTCAACTTGACTCAATTCACACACCTTGTTGCTTGCTCAAGCGAGTTGATGGGGGAATTGACCGACTTATTATGCCAGACAGTGTGGAGATTTGGTCGTCTAGTAGCTTGCAGGCAAGAATCTTACACGGTCAGTCACTTGCGACGAACGAAGTTCCCCTAGTGGAGTCGCATGCTTAGCAAGTAAGTCTAGGTTCCTCGTTGACTACAAATTGCACCCATTTAGCACGCAGCTCGAATATAAAACGAGTACAAAGTACACTTGTCACTACTTGCTGCCCAAGAGAGGACAACTCTCGTCCATTTTGGAAAAGAGTGTCATGAAATATAGAAAGTGGAAGCATCTCACTCGAGTATATTTTGGGTGGGAATCTTCACAAGCATAGGGGGAAGTAGGCGGGGTATATTAATCGTTTCATTATCGATCTACCAGCATGCAGTAGGAGTAGTAAATACTACATGAATAAAAATCGTGGTCTACAGAACCGGGTATTGTAAAAAGGAAAGGCCCACCACCATCATTCTTCACCACCGCCGATCTCCTCCCCTCCTCTCTCCTCCCCCAGCCCATCTCCCATGCCTTCCACCACACGCACAACACAACACAGGGTGTGCTTCATTCGTGACATGTGGTACTGTGACGGGAAGCAATAGATGGGCGCACTAGACATGACTCGTCGTGCCTCTGCGTCTACGACCACCGCCACGACCGCAGGTGAGACAAGAGATGATGATGTCGAAAAAGGCGGCAATGGCTCCCACGATTGCTTGCAGGACGGAGGCGATGCCGTTAACGATGGCCATGAGGCAGGCGCCGATGGTCTGGCAGAGAGATTTGATCTGTTTTGTTTATTAGTGGACTGGATTGGGGAATGAGGGGAGCAAGGGTGGACATACGCATGATACGACGGCTCCCATTGTGAAGGTGTTGCGCTGTGCGACTTGATTGTTTGAATTGGATTGGTGTGTGTTTGGTAGAAGCTCGAGGCTTTAGTTGATGTTTGTTTGTGTTTGTTGGAGTGGAATGTGAACTTGTTGTTGGATGGAGAGTAAAGGGAGAGGACAAGAAGGAAGGGGGTTGCTATATATTGTCCAACCTCCTTCCGTCGTACAAATCCTTTCGGCGAATGTGCGTCATCAGAATTAAATTTGCATCCTACCATGGCAAAACACAAAACAGCATTCCGTGTCTAGGATCAGGTGTGTTGTTGTATGACGTAGCCGCTGTCCATCTTCGTCCCAAAGCAGCAGAGCCTACCCGACTATCAAGCAAATGCGATTGGCCACCTCTTGTCATTGGCAGACAAGGAATTAGAGTGTAGCACAAAATCAAGGAAGAGGGGGCAGGGCGCTTCGTTTCAAGTAACAGATTTGCAGTTTGAGAGGCAGCTAGTCTAGTTTAAGACGTCACCAGCCACACTTAGTGCGCCACAGTGGCTGGTGATGTCAGAAAAAGGACGTGCAAACATTGAGAGATCGAATCTAAGGATGGGATCGCGTTCCGATCGCGTTACTCGTTCTCGTGTTGCTCGTGCTCGTTTCTGGGCCTAGACTCTGTCGGAGATGAGTCGGAACACAATAATAAACGAAAACCAGATATATCGAGAGGTTTAATCTCACGTAGGCCGCTAGCGGCTGAATTAAATTGCAGCTTATGATATTCCCTTGCATGTCGCGGATATGCGAATGAAGAGCAAGTCTTCTCTTCTCAAGTGACACACTAGGTTTCCATAGAACGGCACCGTTGAACCCAAATCCAGTCGCGTTCTGAGTACAGATACGTACTTCTATTGCATTTCGACTTTTCACCCAATGCGCCAATTGTCCCCCTCAACGCGCTCCCCAGCCAGTCATTCATTACATGCCGCTCAGGCCTGAATATGAAGAAAGTTCAAAGCCCCCTTAATAACCGCAAGCAATGTCGGCAATCTGTACGTTCTTTTTCATTGGCGGAGATCTTATAGAATCATGGATACCCTAGTTGCTGTCGCGCCTCCTGGGTTCGACGTCTTGCACAAGCATGCCAATTCGTTTGAGTCGATTTGAAAAGAGCTACTTCTATCTCCCCGTTTCCCGGATGCCCAATGACAGTGAAAGATCAAAGGAACTTCAGATCTCCTAAAGGATGTCTTGATGGCCGCAATGCTAGATAATAGGCAAGATCGGGAGGCTTTTCGAGTGCAAGAGTGCTGTAAACTGGTGGATTTAGATCTAACGAAACATTAATGCCCTTCTCGTTCTTGATCTCGAGTTGAAGGTCGCGGAGATTTTTCCCTTTTAGTTTACTGCAGATATCACCCAACCCTGTTTTATCAGAATAATTGGTTCTAAATGTAATTACAATATCTCTCAAGGGTATAAAGTCATCCTGGATGCACTCGAGAAAGCGGAGACAAGCACTAGGGTCTTTGAAAACGAATCTGGCATAAATGAGATGGAGAGTTCGGAGTTCGTTGAAGAGTTGGCTGTTGGTAAGATAGGCATTGTCCCCGCAGCGACAACCTAACAAGCCGAGATTGTCACAGTTACGGGTCTTGATATGAAAGAGGTAGCCGCATATTTGGAGTCTGAGTTCAAGAGGGAGGCCGAGAAGGGAAGGCGTCGCAGGGAACAATTGTGAAGAGGAGTCCATCGGAAAAGATTTCGTTGTGAATGCGTTGTCCATGGTGTTAGCTAGGTGAGGTTGTTGGAAATAGCTCGAATGGGGAGAAAGCCGGTATTTCGTTACTCATCTGGTTGCTCCCCAATACGATCTCTATTTATTTGACCCTGTGAGAGTTTGATCGATGTTGGAGATAATCCTGGACGAGGCTGAGGCTGAGGCCCCGCCATGAACTAATTTGGCGCTCATCATGTGACGTATGCAAGGCTACGAGTATCAAGTCGGGAATTTTCCCCAACCAACACTAACATCCTCAATCTATTTCCTCCACAAATTCCAATTCCAATCATGGATCGAACACCCATAAAGGTTCCCGGCAAAAGAAAGGCAACGGCCAATAAAAGCGGACAAGATGCCAAGAGTACGAGTGTCAAGGTTATTTGACCCATCATTTTTGCCAAACGTGGATGACTGGCTAATTGTATCGACAGGGCAAATCTCGAGGTCGACCCCTAAAGTTGATTTCCTCGAGCAAGAGAGCAGATATCACAGCAGCAAGCTCTTCGACCGCAAAATCCACAAAGAAACGATCACTCAAAAACATCAAATCAAAACTCAAGATGTCTCTACTCGAGAAGCTACCAACCGAGTTGCTGGAGAGGGTTTATCTTTATGCAATGAGCATTGATCTCCCCAGATCTAGTCCTATTATTGCTAGTAAATTAAGCCGCGATCTCATTTATATTCAAACAATTATTGCCGCCTTCGATCCAACCTGGGACGCCTGCCACGCAGCTAGGGCGAGGTATGAACCGGACCCTTCCGTTGTTTCCTCCCAGGTAAGTTCATCGAATGATCAAGCAGATAGTAGCTAAGCTATCGATTTGTAGACTGCAATATTACGCTGTCGATGGGCATCTCTCCCTATTATACTGAAGGCAAAGACGACGTGGGTACAGCAATATGCTACTGACCGCGACTTCCAACCCCTATGTATGTGGATAATCTGACAATTACCAAATATGCTCGAATTAACACTTGCTAGGGTTTATATCAGAGCATATCAAAGATGTAAAATCTGAGCCTACGATTGAAATGACTCCAGAAGAGTATTTGGACGCAGATTTTGCCAGATTCACAAATTTCCATGCACAGGAAATGCTTCATATTTCATTCTCGGTAAGTAAATGTTGAAGGGAATTGCTTCCGGGTTAACTTGGAACTTTATCCCGAAATATTTGAAGTCCTTTTAGTATTGTTCCTGTTCTGGTTCCCAGAGAAAGTATGCTGATTTTTTGTTTATATGTAGTCGGGCACGCATCGTGATGTTGAAAGGGGTGTGGAGATACCCGAAAGCCTGCTTCTCGGTCCCTGGTCAGAGGAAATGGTGAAGCATCTTTATTGGATCGTCAAGTCTGGCGCAGTGCTTGACTTTTTTCGATCTACAAGTGGTGAAGTGAGTCAAGCGTATACCATTCACTATCCCGCTAATTTGCTTATAGGTGGCCGAAATTGGGCTACGAAATGCTATTTCCGTAGGAGACACACGCGTTATACATCTCCTCTTTTGGGCTGGACTCAGAAATACTATTGGTGACCATACAATCATCTATGCTTTGCGACATGCGGGAGGTAACAAAATACAAGTCGTCAATCACATATTGATGCATGCTTCGATGCGGCCAGCGAATAAAACGAAAATCACTCCTTACGCTATGCCGCAGGAGATAGGAGATATCAAGGATGAAGCTCAAAAGGAAAAGGACCAAGAGAAACTCGATTTCATGGACGCTGTCACGGAATCAACCTGGTACGAAGTTGTTAAGCCTAGAATGGATGGCTTTTCAGGCCGTTTAGCTTAAAGAAACAGGACGTTATTATATCCCGAAATCCAATAGCCAAACTCTAGGCATTAATTTTATAGTCAGAGTACAATCTAATAAGACAATGGCTTGAAATGCAGCCACAACCCCCCCCTGGACTAAGTAATTTGGTGCCGGCTAAAGTATCTTTATACTCCAACTTCGCGCCAGAATCTATTATCTCAGCTACGAATGATGGCGTACCGATCTATTAAACCGTTGATAGTACAAAACTAACTTCCTAGCACAAGTTTCCAATTTAAAGAGAGTTTTTAAGTCCGTGAATGAAAGTACTCCCAATCATGTGACCAATGACGCCAAGGTTTTCCAAGAAAAATATCTCTACATCCTCAGCCTCACCACGACCTAGACGAGAGCGTTGTACCAGTAGCATCAGATAGCAATAGCTCTCCAGCTGCTATGCGGTCCGTTATCTACGCACCAGCGCCATCATCAGCTCTTCTTAAACTCCTCCAGGCGCAATCCGAAGCCGTCTGCTTCTTCTCTCCCAACCATCGACCTGGCTCGATACTCGACCACGCTACGATTGGAGGCTCCCTTTCCCAACCTTGGCACCCAGTATTCGAGACTCTAAAGACATCTACTGGATGTATTTCGACAACGGTGCCGCGTCATACAACTCTTGAGGCAGGCTTTCTAAATCTAGATTTTTTATGGCCTCGTTCAAATCCCTCGACTGTACATATACAATCAGCCCAATGCCGGACAGCATCTAGAAACAGAGGACTGAATGATGGAAGGGTGTTATTAGCACATCGTAAAGCTTCAACGGGGTCGAGGAGCTGGCTTCAAAGGCTATGGGGCACGAAATCTTCAAAAGGAGGGAGACCCCTACGACCAGACGATCTTCCCACGTCGTTACGGGAACGAGAGGACGGAGCAGATACCTCAGTATTTAGTCTTGGAAGGGTGGTGTCTGCCAAAGCTGCAGCGCAACCGAAGTTGCGCTGTACGGAGATTGATGAGAGTGGAAATGTGGTTCTGACGAGTGGGGAGTTCAAGAAGAGCGAGCTGATTGCAAAGGTAATTGCTTCGAAATACCTTGGTCTGAAGTAGTGACTAATGGACATAGTATGGACTTCTTCCTCGAGATCTACGCAAAATCGACTCAACTCTCCTTCCGCATATCCTCGTTCGCCCCTCCGCAATCCTCATCAACCTCCTCCACCTCCGCGTCCTAATAAAATCCAACCGCGTACTCGTCTTCGATGCCTATGGAACCACAGACTCTTACAACCAATCCGCGTTCATTTACGATCTGGAAGACAAGCTCCGGCAGAAACAGAACTCAGCTGCAGCTGGAGGTTTACCCTACGAATTCCGAGCACTAGAAGCAGTGCTCGTATCAGTAATAACAAGTTTGGAGACCGAATTCGAAGGCGTGAGAGAGCCAGTTGTTCGAGTATTGAGGGAGCTGGAAGAGGATATTGATAGAGACAAGCTGCGACATCTCCTCATCTACTCCAAGAAACTCGGAACCTTCGAGCAAAAAGCAAAGCTAGTCCGAGACGCCATTGACGAGCTACTTGAAGCAGACGATGATCTTGCAGCCATGTACCTGACCGAAAAGTCCCACGATTTAGTTCGTGGGGAAGATGACCATACCGAAGTCGAGATGCTGTTGGAATCATACCACAAACTCTGTGACGAAATCGTCCAAGAGTCCGGGAATCTGGTCTCCAGTATCCGTAACACGGAAGAGATGTAAGACACAGTTGCCCTGGCCAAGATTTTTGACTAACCACCAAAACAGAGTAAAAGCCATCCTCGACGCAAACCGCAACTCGCTCATGCTCCTGGACCTTAAATTCTCCATCGGCACCCTCGGAATCGGCTCCGGCGCTTTCGTCGCCGCACTCTATGGCATGAATCTGAAAAACTTCCTCGAAGAATCCAGCATGGGCTTCTGGGGCGTGACGGGTTGGAGCATCATCTTCGCAGGCGTAGTCTGCACATACGGCCTCACGAAACTAAGGAAGGTGCAGAGGGTCAGTATGTGGGGAGAAGCGGGGCGCAAAGGCAGGAACTGGAGGGTTGCGGAGGATGATCTGGGGGTGGGGCGGAGGGAACGTAGTGAGAGGCAGAGGAGGTTGAAAGAGGAGAGATCGGGAGCGTTGGAGGAGAGGAGGCAGAAGCAGCATGAGACGGGGGTTATTGCCGCTTCGGCTGCGCACAGGATGAACGCCGCCGCGATGGCTAGGGAGACTGCTGCTGCAGCGGCGAGGGCGAAGCATTGATGTGGTGTATAGTATGAATAATAAATACCTGGGATGGGCGTTTTGGCTGTGAGATTATGGGTGGCGGTGTTTGGCGTTTCGGTAGATCTAGACATAGATATCTACTCCCTTCTCTCTCTTTAACTCATAACATACCATAGATTGTTTTTTTTTATCTATCTAGTTCTTGGCAATTCCTCCTAGCTGCATGTCTCAGAATAGGCACATTTTAGCGGCAATTATCATATAATATTGTCCTATGTATATAGGTATGTAAGGATCTTCCCCCTACTCACTTCTCTTGTCTCCCTTTCCCTGAAACTTTCTCTCTCTTCCTGCTTTAGGTATATACTATAGTATAATCATCGAACCTTAAAATCCTATCTCCCGTCTCGCAACATACATTCATTCAATCTATCACGCTTCCTTTCCTCTCTACCCACTCAACCTTGATAGCTTTAGTCTCAGCCCATACATGCCTCTCTCCCACAAAATCCCCAAGTGGACCAATGGTTCCAGACCCCAGCTCTCGCTGCGATTAAGAGCCCAGTCATGGCATAGTAGCCAAAGCGAAAGATAGAGCATATCCATCCGCAAGACTTGGCCCAATACGACTAGTAAGCACAGCTAGCTCCACGTCGTAGCAGCAACCGAATCATCTCTTCGTGCTCTCGAGTTCGCTCTTTTCTTTTCCATATGCATGGTAAGGCCCCAGCCCCATTCGAGGCCTAGGGATTCCAGAATCCTAGCTCTGTCTTTGCTTCTTGGGTTCAAAAAAAAAAAAAAAAAAAAAAGCAAGCCAGCACAGAGCTCCGCCTGTATATTGTAGGTGCCGACGTATCGTACGTATGTCGTCCATGAATTGATTATATTATAGGTATAAAAGGTCAGGGGTCTTTCATACTATGATCTCTTTCGGCAAGGGAAAACATCAACCATCAGATATCGTAGCACTCTCTCAAGGACTTCCAAATATCCCCTCATCCCATGCTGCAGCTGGCTCAGAGTCCCAAAACATACTAAGATCATCCGCAGACCCCAGTAAATCCATATCGTCCCTATTCTCAAATTGCTCTTCCTCTCGCTCCGTTTCGTGGTCATGATTACACGTGGTGGGAATAGGGCTTCCATCATCCTCAAACAGCCTCTTGAGATAGCTCCCCGAGTCACCGACCCCGCTCGAACACCACTCCCCGTACCCCACCGCTAGTCTCGCTTGCTCATGGTCATCGTTCGCGCCAGAGAATGAAAGCAAATCGCGAGCTAGGGGGTCGTAGGTTCCCGAACTAGCAATGAATAGCCTGAGCGGAATGTGCAGATATCGCTGGCTTTGCACCAAAGCGGTACTATCCTCCGATGCTAACATGACGAGTGATTTCCTGACAATGCTCTGGATGCAGAAGCTGTAAAATATTGAGAGATAGCAGGTGTTCTTTTTGCGTATATTTTCTTTTTTGAACATGACTCTTGAGAGCTCGTTGAAGTAGCTTTGTAGGTGCAAGTTAACGGTTGCGACGTACTCGACTTTGCAGTCGCGCGAGTTTGGGCTGCAGTAATTGTGCGAGTATTGGCTGATAAAGCCTGAATTTCTCTTGCGGATTGCTTCGAAGCAGCTGCGGAGACAAATGAGGGACTGGGAAATTAGTTGGTTCTGAAAATCGAGTTAGTGAGATTTCTCGTAGATGGTCCTGGTAGTCTCAGTTCTCAATTAGCATCCCAAGAACTTTCTCCAAAGTCAAGGACGCCTCGTGGTAAATAGACAAAGCGGCACCAGGATATAATGTGCCACACAAAGCAGGACATCAAACATGAATGATAATGAGTGCCGCTTTTTGTGTCTAGCTCGAGGACGTCTATCATATAGAGTTGACGAGTTTGAACGTCCAGAAGACGGCTTTTGCTCTTTGAAAAGTTCACACCACTCTATGAAGAGGTTGAAGAGCGGAGATAGTCTACAGACCTAGGACATGATAAGGAAAGAGTCCTTACATTTTCCTGCCTGGCTTGATAAACGGCTGCGGGAGCCATCAGCTGAATCAAGCCGTTCAACCCACCCACCGAGTCGAAAATTGGGAGTGGGCATTCAGAAAGCTCCCACATTATCGCCATTACACACTCCTTTACGGGATCGAGAGCTCCTGGACTTGGCTTGGTGGTCACCGAGTTGCAGGCGTCCGAAAATGCCTGACCTAGCAATTGATGGGCCCCGCTAACTTCAGGAACCGGAAGTGAACGTTGGTTTTCCCTGTCCAAATTATACTCTTGTCTAACCCATCCATCGCGTCTATTTGTTGCATTTTGTGATGCAGCTGCAAGAGCTGATATAGCACGCTTTTCTTCTTCCGCTGGGTACGCAAGTGGATTGTGCCTGCACAAGATGTTGAGAGGCAACTCAGGTTGGAAGTCGCCACGCCTGCATCCGACAGCTTCCCATTTGGACTTGTCACTTCTTGGACACAGCGCACAAGGGGTTTCAAGTTCACACTGTCAAAATCAACATGGTACGAGTCGAAGAATGATTCAAGCACGTACCGTTTTTCTCAGAAACTTACATCGCCTACAGTTTAGTATTAGCAATTTGCATCAACCTTATGAGAGTATTGTGGGAGACCCAAGCAAGCACAATCATTGTAAAAGAAGACAATGAAAATACACACCAGCAAGCTCCTACTTTCTTGACCGCATTGGCGCCCGCCCGAGCCCAATTGCTTAAAGGCCCTCGTCTTCCCGAAGCAGCCGACAGCACGCTGCCTGAATATACGGAAGTCGAGTCGAAGACAAGTTCCTGAAAACCTGAGCCCGTCTGGCTATATGTACTTTCGCCGCTAAAAATACTGCTTTGCTTACTCCGATCATATTCGCTATGCGCACTGTATGTTGAGCTTGGCTTACTTTCCGTTTGGTTATAACGGGATGTTTGTGGAGCAGTCAGTAGCTCACTTGTCCAGTCGGTCTCTTCTGGAGAAGAGGGTAGCACAGATGGAGAAAGCACGCCTGCTTCAGGTATACCTATGGCTGGGGAACCTTTATTGTGCCTTGAACCTGAGACGATTGCACGTCTCTGCTGGTCTTTACGAGCATTCAATGAAACAGGAGGGTAAAGGGGGCCCGAGTGAACTCTTTGCTGATGTCTTAGCATCAGGTCTCGGCGCATGAAGCCCATGACGCACTCTGGGCATTGGAAACGAGTTTGCTTTAAGTGTGACTTCTCATGACGTTTCAGATCTGCTTCTTGAAGAAATGTTGTTTTGCAAACACTACAGGAGTGAGCAATTGGTTGGACCTTGCTCGGATGGTTATCTTTGGGGGTATCTGGGCGTGTCTTCTTGCGTGTACTCAGCCGCCAGGCTTTCCAGGGACCTTTTGAAATATAACTTCGAGCAGAGCGGCCGCTTCCAGAGTGTTTTCTCTTCACATGGGTTCCAATTTCGGGGTTGTGAGAGGAGAGCTCCATTATGGAAGGCATTTCTTCAACCTGTTCAAGCAATGAGACTGGGGAGGCAGGGGCCTCGTGACCAGAATAATGACCAGAATAAGAATAAGTATTATACGGGGTTGTAGAACACAAATCCACAGTCAAGGCCGAATCAAATATAGAGGAAGGTATGGGAGATGGAGAAGTCGTAACAGAGTTCAACGGATTTGAGTTGTACTGAAATTGGTCGAGGCGTGATAGCTGAACATCTCGATCCTCGAGATCGTTGAGCTCAGATAAATCAGGTACATCTGGTCTACTGATTCTCACAGTTCGAGATGCCTTGGAGTACTCGTAGTCCAAACCAAAATGATGGGCTATGGCTTGAACGCTCCTCTGCTGCGAAGCCTCAAGATTCTCAAACGCCACGTCTTCCCTTGAAGTGTCTGTCTTGAACACCAGTATTTGAGAATAGAGATGAAGATTGGAAGGGTTGTTCATATCTAGAGGGGTATTAGTCAGACCCCACTGATCTGAGCGGACAAACAACTTACCCACTCCCACAGGAGCGTTTGCTGAAGACGACGACGACATGGTGCAACGTGAAATACGCCCTGGACACAATGCCTACCTATCTACGAGGATTAGGTCCATGAGTCTTCGCCAATTCGTACCGGCTGTTGAGGAACTTGAGGTTCTAGAAGGGCGGATCAGCCACGGTGTGCATATAGGAGGAGCCTCTTGATTGAAGATCAGGACGAACCCTTAAAATACTTATTTTGATTGCCCTGACTGACCATAAAAGCTCAGCGCTTAGCCTGTTGGCACTAAGTGAGATAGATGCAGTAGCCAACAGCGACTCTAGACAACCATCTGATAAGCTGAAAAGCTGACCCCTGAAACAAAACACAACGGGTAATGACGTCGGAAAACGACCTTGGGCTGAAGTATGATGAAATTGTAGTGAGTTGATTTCGTCGTGAAACGAGTGAGACGAAAGGCAAGGCAGGGAAGGTGAGCTGGTGACCGCTCAGCCTCAACGTTGAGTCTAGACCACCACCGAGTTTGGAACGACCGAGGCGCAAGGCGGTCACCCAGTTTGGGAGAGGGTGATAGCGTAGACCTGCATGTCAATACGTACACTCCTGTTCCACTGGGATCCCCCAGTCTTTCAGGGGTATTAATTAAGCGACCGATATTCTAACGTGAAAATTATTGCAGCCACACCCGTTGGCCAGCTATTGTCTCTGTTTGTTGTCTGTTGTCTCTTTAAAGGCACCTTCGAAGATCGGCATGGTATACAGATGCTGTCCATCCCGACTTTGTCCAGACCGCCAGCGAGTCTGGTAGGCACGATGGACCGCCATTGCAACTCCTTCTTTGAGAAATCATAGCACGATATAATGAGCTTTAAGTACCCGTTGTGCTGCTGCCATAGCAATACACCTTCGAACCATCATCTACCAGACTGAACAACCTCTAGGTCTTAGAGTCATGTCTCAACCCCCCCTAGTCCTAGAGTCTTGGTCTTCATTTTGTGATATTGAGGACAATTCATACTTATACCCAAGCCCTCTAAGCACCGATACCTCAGATTCACCCAAGAGTACGAGCAAGTCGAAACCCCATGTCCGTCCAAGCGCACTCAACTGTGATATCGACGCTTGCAAGTCTACTTTCCGTCGTAAAGCCGATTTGATCCGCCATAAGAAATCCATCCACGGTCCGAAGAGTTCATGCACGTATGAGGGATGTAGATATACAACTGGACGGCGCGACAAGCTGAGAGAACATACCGCATCGATCCATGGAACTCCCAGTAAGTCCGAGACCTGGTATCGAGAAACGCGACTAAAATATCATCTCATCTCCAAGATCAAGATCCTCAAGAAACGCCGGATCCTTGTGGCAAGCCTCACACTCAGACAGAAGCTTTTGGGGCATCTTCAATGGATAGCACCGCGTTTGATATACACGACAGCCTAAATGGCTTTGATGCGCCTCCAATACATGATGATACCTCAAACGCCCCCCTCGACATGTTCTTGAGTATGAGTCAACCTCCAAGCCAATGCTCCAGAAGCACAAGCATGAACATCCCTTCGAGCTACAGCGGCTGCACAACCTTCGATCCCTGGAGTTTCAACAACTCAACATCCAGTACCCTGTCAAGCTTCGATGTACAGGACACAACAAATTCGTTGGAGCAGCTCTTCAACCAGCCATCAGACTTCTATGGCCTGGGAAATTGGGTTGACGACGAGTTTTCTAACAATCTGTTAGTATCTACTGGGACGTGTCTTGATGGGCTGATATATCCTTCTATGTTTGACTAGTCACGGGTAAAATGCTGTACAGAGGGAGATGGAAGCTGTTCGTGGACAAAACATTATCCATTGATTTAAATTCGCGGGGCTATCAGTGCCCAAGCAGAGCATTGTAATAATACCCTCACTATTTCCAAAGTGTAAATATAGAAGTGAAATTTGAGATGTCGAATGTTCAAAATACTCGTATCTCTATGGCACTTTTTCAAGAGAAAATATGATGAGCAATGAGCAATGAGCAATGCAAAGGAACAGAAAAGCAGAGCCATCGTTAGAAAAAGTGAAGATAAAACACTACACTAGAGAAAAATGAGATCGGGATCACATAATGACTAGCGAGTTTTACCTTCTCACTTTTTCTCGTAACTACACTTCCTTGCACTTGCCCAAGCATTGGAACGCAAAAAAAGTAAAAAAAAATAGTGCATATTTCGCATCAAGGTATCTAACAGCATTAATAATATACAAGCCGTGTCACTCACATATTTTTCAGAATCCTCTTGACACCAGCCGCCCGCCCCCAAGGCCGCATCCCATATCCAACCTCTACGATCGCCCTCACAAACTCATATCCCTTCGCCGTATCCGGAATCGGATATCTAATCTGCGCAGGAATAGCCGTGCGAATACCCGCCCAGCCCCAGCGATCCTCGATGACAGCTTTGATATTGCACAAACCCCTAAGCCCTTCTTCGCCAGCAAAACGACCGTATCCACTGCCGCCTACACCTCCGAATGGTAATTGGACTGCGTAGTAAGCCGCAAAGTCATTCACGGCTACCATTCCCGTCTTCAAATTCCGAATGACGGCCCGCATGTGGTAATCAGAAGCCCCAAAAACAGACGCACCGAGACCAAAATCCGGTGCATTAGCTATCGCACAAGCGTCCTCGGGATTCTTGGCTCGCATAAGGACACAGATGGGCCCAAAGCATTCCTCGTTTGCGATGGCCATTTCTGGCGTAACGTCGACGAGGAGGGTGGGTTGGAAATAGTGGCCTGAGTGGTGTACTGGGTGGTGAAATCTTGACCCACCGACGAGAAGACGTGCTCCGTCTTTGACGGCGCCTTGAATGAGATTTTCAAGTCTATCGAAGGATGTGTCTGAAACCATGGCTCCCATGTCGACTTGTGTGTCTTTAGGCGCGTCGAGAATTGACCCTACGCGAATCGCTCGAATCCGTGGCTCTAGTGCGAGGACAAGTTTGTCGTAGACTTTGGGGCATGCGACTATGCGTTCGATGCCAATACAATTCTGACCAGCTGCTTGGAAAGTCCCACGTAGAAGGATTTCAATTATTCGGGGAAGATCTTTCACAGCAGTATCAAGAACAATTGCAGCATCTTTTCCACCTAGCTCTGCAACAACAGGGGTAAGAGATTTCGCAGCTGATGCCGCAACGAATTTGGCAACAGGTCGGCTTCCGATGAAAGTAACATGAGAGATGGATGGATGAGATGTAAGGTGGTTGGCAGTTTGGGGCCAGGTTACAAGGGTCTGGACAAGGTGGGCATCGTGGCCACAGATGTGGAGAGCCCCTTTCACAATAAGAGTGAAGTAGTTGACGCTCCAAGCCGTATTTTCCGAAGCCTTGACCACGATAGCATTGCCGGAAAAGATGGCAGAAATCATAGGACCGATCAGATTATGAAATGGGTAGTTCCATGAGACCAACGCAGCAACAACTCCAAGCGGATCATATTGCACGGTATTCTTCTTATATGCCATCAACAGGTTCGTCGGTCTCCTCGAGGGTCGTAGAGCTTTCTCTCCGTGGTCAATTGTCCACTGCAGCTTCTCGACGGTGACCAGAATCTCTCCTAGCGTAGCATCAATCATAGTCTTCCCCGAATCCAGACAAGCAACTCTGCAGATATCCTCCTGATTCTCTATGACAAAAGCCAGTATGCACCTCAACACCTGCCGTCTCTGGGAGAACGTTGTTGCCGCCCATTTATCCTGCGCTATCTGTGCCTTCTCAACCGCGCGGTCAATCCCCTCTGGCGTAGAGGGATTCACAAAGCCGAGGAATTCGCCAGTCGCAGGGGCATAGCATTGGATGGCTGTTGTACCCGCGGCTTTGATCGACGGCCTCTCGAGTATTCTCGAATCGTCTGGCGGGGCGGGGACTGCAACCGTGTATTTTATGATGGGCTCGCTATAATACCATTCCTTGAACCAGACGGCAGACCAGATTATCATCGCTACGAAGACTGTCGAGCCTATGGCAGAGCCGTAGAGAAGCCTTTCACTGCAAGGAATCAGCAAAGAGTAGGTTTGAGGAGCCATTGAGCACTCACATTTCACCCTCTTTCCACCCGGCAAACAGTCCATTCTCATCTATCTGCATTTCTGCCATCGTGCTTTTTCGAACGCGCTTTTGTAGCCTGATCGCCTCTACAGAGTATCGCGTGTTGCGTTGGCAAACGTATGTACCACGGACTGACAATTCCTAATTGGTATCGCAGAAATGCAGATTCAGGAATTCATGGCATAGAGAGAGAGTAGGTAGACAGAAAGGTTAAAGACGGTGTAGAATGAAAGAGCTTGCGACCCGACCCGACGAAAGAAATAATGGCTCGACATTGATAATTTTGAAATTCTGGGGAAGTAGCATCCCTGCTAGTTCTATCTTGCTAGCGCACCCGAGCAATTCAGGCCTTGCGGTCCGTCAACGCCGATTGGTGAAGGGTCGTAAAGGGGAGTTAGTGTTTTTATATTTGTTAGTTTTTCTATATCTGTATCTCATAAGAGTATCAGACGAGACACTGGTAACATGTAAATGAAGAATGAAGAATATCCCGAGACTTTATCAATCGAAATGTGACTTCGTACGTATAATTACTAGTTACCTCCTATCCTACAGTGTTTTACAAGTTTTTCTACTTGAGTATAAGAAGCCTTACGCTTCTTATATCCACGATGGAGAGCCTAGGACTTAAAACGTCAGAGCGACTTTATTGAATAAATGGTTGAATTGTGTAGGTCGCTAAGCTGGGAGGCTGGGTTGGCCCTACAAGTAAAGTGAGGTTATAAACCATTATGCTGACTAATCCCACATCTAACAAAATCAAAAATTATTCCATCACGTGCTGATTTTTCACCACATTGCCAACTCATGCTTCTAAGAAGCTGGTATCGGCTTGCAAGGCCTCATTCTCTCTGGAATCTTAGATCGAAGAGATACCATTCAACCATGATATTCTCACCGACCCCTTCACCCGCAGGCTCCCCTCCAATCCTAGAGGAGACCACCACCATAGGAACAACACCATGGACACCTCTCTTCTCACACTCCTGTTCATTTCCCCCAGAAATCTTCAGAGAAGTAATGCTGAACCTCATCCGGAACCCCAATATCAACTCCAACCGTCTCTTCCGAGCAGATATCTCTCTCGATATCCCATATACCCCAAACCTCGCACCTGACTCGGAAATCCCTCCACGAATCGCACACTTCGAGGATTTTGATCTCAAGACCGTGATGGTCAGGACTATGATCCCAAGAAATCCTCTCCTCGATAAACCTTTAGACCAGACATGTACGTTCTACGAGCAGACACGAGATTCAGATATTCAATCCCTCGTGATCTACACCCCCCACATATCATCCGCCTCGGAATCACCATTCTACCACCCCTCCGTTCGCGGAATAGCCTTTCTCCATACCACCAATAACTCCTCTACATCCAAATCTACATCCAAAGAAGCAACCCTCTCAATCCACTACTCATTCTTCTCCGCCTCTCCCCGCTCCCCAGTACACGAGCAAACAGCCCACCACCTCCTCCGCGTCCTGCACAAGCACGGCCAAGGCCTATCAACCGGCTACATCAAACGCGTGCACCACGACGTGGTGCTCCCGCAAGCAGTCGTGCAAAACACCTACGCGCGTCTAAAAGCTAAATACGCAAAAGTCTTATGTGAGAGTTGGAGCGAGAGTACCGATCCCACGAAACACGTGTTTGAAGATCTGGGGATTGCGGCGTTCTTGATCGAGTTGTGGAGGGAGATGTATGGTGGGGGAAAGTTTCCGGGGTTTGTGGATATTGGATGTGGGAATGGATTGCTGGTGCATATTCTGCTAGAAGAAGGGTATGCGGGGTGGGGATTCGATGCTAGGAGACGCAAGTCTTGGGCTACGTGGTCTGAAGCCGCGCAGGAGAATCTAAGAGAATTGGTATTAATACCTGCTATAATCCAGACTGCGGGATCGGGGTCAGGATCTCTAGACTGGAGTCTAGATACCGAAGCTGGGAAGGGAGAAGGAGAAGGAGTCGGGATACACAACGGCATATTCCCCACCGGTACATTCATAATCTCCAACCACGCCGACGAACTAACACCCTGGACGCCCATCCTCGCAACCCTCTCCTCCTCTCCCTTCATCATGATCCCCTGCTGCAGCCACTCACTCTCCGGCTCACGATTCCGAGCTCCAAAAACCACACCTTCAACCTCATCAACCCCCAACTCACAAAACACCACATCCAATCCCAATTCCAACAACACAAGCGCCTTCGCAAGCCTCGTCTCCTGGGTTTCACAGATTGCCCAAGACTGCGGCTGGGTAGTCGAAAAAGAAATGTTGCGAATCCCTAGCACACGGAATACGGCGTTGATAGGACGAAAAAGACTGAATAACACCACCACCACCAATCTGAACCCATCGCATGAGGTTGCAGATGCAGAAAAGAAGAAGATTGATATAGATGTAGATGTAGATGTAGATATGGATATGGATATGAAAGAGGTAGTGAAAAAATACGGAGGTGCAGAGGGGTGGGAGGGTAATGCGTTGAAACTTGTTAGTGGTGTGTTGCGTGGGCATTGATTAGTAGAAAAGCGAATGGTTTGTTGAGATGAAGCTTACAAGAAGTATGTAAGTGAGATAGCATATACCCAGTTGCTATTATCATATTGCTCCTTCACAAAGTAGACGTAGAAATGAAAGTCAGTCAAACGTCAGGGGTCCGAGAACTGATTATACTAGCATATGCAATGTCAATCACCCGACAAAGTATTAAATGAATGAACGAATAACTTGATAATAAAGTGCCAGCTAAAACTTGGCTATACACATTTCCAATTCCTAATGCCAAACCCCCCAAAATCCCTTCTGAATGCAATTTTAATTCCAAATCCATGAACACGAAATTCCAAGATACAGTACTCTCACTAAAGCTACACTAAATCATCATTGTTTATTTCCTATAACCCTCCTAACACACCATCCCATTTCCTTCTAACCCCTAACACCAAAGAAATGTTTTACCCCCAAACCCCAAACCCCAAAGCAAACTAAAATGAAAAGAAAAGAAAATAAGAATAACCTCCACCCCTTCCTTCCATATGAGTTCAATTATACCAAAGCCAGAAGCAAGAAAGCCACCAAAACACCAGCAACTCCACACCCTCCAGCCAAACGTCCAGCTCCAGAAGCAAGCACAACGTTCGAGCTCGGAATCGCGGTCGTGCTCACATTGCCCATCTTGGGCGTACTCGTAGCAACAGCGCCGCCGTTCTTGCTCTCCACCGTGACAGTCTGTGACTTGACGGCGGGTG